AGGTAGGAGGGAGAAAGGGAGGGAGGGAGGGAGGGAGGGAGGGAGGGAGGGCATTTACATGGACCCCGCCGAAGGAGAGGGCAATGGTTTTGTAGCTTATCATGGAAGCCCCAGAACGAGGGGAGGGGGCAGACCCCTTGCGTGAGACCTGCAGCGGAGATGATAGGAGGACGATGGTCGGGAGGGGGAGTCGAGGGAGGGGAGAAAGGGAATGAGGGAGGGGAGGAGGGGGGAGAGGGAGGGGAAGACTTACCCGTTCCCAGTACGGCTGCCCCCCCGCGGGGACGGTTTTCATTTGGAGGGCCCATGTGTCGTCGTGGACGTGACCCTCAGCCTTGCTACTCTGGGAATGACCGAATACGGTCGTGACGGTCGCTTTCACCTGGGGAAAAAAAGGGGGAGAGGGAGGAAGGGGAGAAGTACTTTGAGCTGGGAAGATAGGGAGGAGAGGATTTTGTCGTAGGAGGAGGAATTGAGGAGGAAGGAAAGACCGGGAGGCAATTAAGTGGGAGAGAAAAGGGTGGCCGAGGGGGAGGGGAAAAGGGTGGCGGACAACCTTGGAGTAGCCGCCGTGGATATACACAGCGTCGGTCCCGACAGCCATTTGGCAGCCCGAGCGAGGCGTCGGGACCTTCGAGGGAACGAGGAGGAAAAGACGGGAGGAGGGAGGTGAATCATTTGGCAATGAAGAAATATAAAAATAAACGTAAATAAAGGAGATTATTACAGGAGGCAAGCCGAGGGTGGAAAGGGGAAGAGCGTGGCGGGGGGAAGAAAAAAGCGAGGAAAAGAGGGACGGGGGAGGGGAGGAAGAAGGAAAGGAAGGGCTGGACCGAGGGAGGGAGCAATACCGGTGCGGTTGCAGAATAAACGATTTTTTTCCACTTCAAGTCCTGCAGGTTGAAGAGGAAAAGGTCGTTGTACCAGCGCGTCTCCCGGAAGGCCTGGGGTCCGAAGCGAGGAGCGGAGGTAGGGAATGAGTGAGGGGAAGAGGGAGGGAAAGAAGGAGAAAGGGAGGGAGTGGCGTGTGAGCCTCGCACGATGAGAACTTACAATTATTCCTGAGCGCCCGACCCACACGATTTCACCCATTTACGCGTTCGATCCCAGGCCGGTACCTCATAGAATCCTCCAAAAAGGACCAAATAATGGCGCCAAAGGCACATACGATGCCCCGAGCGGGCAGAGGGCGTGTCTTTCTGAAGGGGAAGCTCCTCCCATTTGTTGCTTTTCAAATCGAGCCTGACGGGAACGGATAACGGTGAGTCAAAAGGACAGAAAGAGGTGCGAATAAAGCTTTAAGGCTCAGAGCGGGAACAAAGCATCGCAGGCGTGCTTCGCTTTGCCGCCAAAGAAGAGAAAGGGGGCTGAGAAAAGGTAGCTCGGCCTTTTCCTGAGACCAGGCCTACGACTAGAACAGAAGGCAGGTTGAAAAATGGCGGAAAGACTCACCGCCAGAGGTCTCGATAGTGGTAGAATTGGTCGCTTGTCCCGAATTCCCCACCGAACACGTAGAGGTGCTCCCGGTAGCACACAGCCTGGGGAGGGAGGGGGGAAGAACGGAAGGGGGAATGACGTATTGTCACGATGAGGCCGGGCGTGGGATGCGAGAAGCTGCTGGAGGGGAAGGACCCCGGGTGGTGAGGAATGAAGTACTCGCGATGCTCGCAGAGGGGGGTCTAGCGATACAAACTGAGAGAAAAGGGAGGACGGCGACGACGAAAGAGTTCAAAATATGGGAGGGAGGGAGGGAATGGGGAGAGAGGAGAGAGGAGGGGAGAGAGGGACAAGGGAACGTGTCGATCGTCGGCAAAACCAAGGATCGAGAGACCGGCATTGATTTCAGCAGAAACTTGGACAGATGCAAGTTGCGACATAATACACGTCGTACCTGGTGAGAACAGCGCGGTGGCGGGGCATTCAGGCTCTCGATCACACGCCACTCCCCTCGTTCCAGGTGCCACCTGTGTGCGCGCAAAAACTAAACGTGAGGGCCCCTCCACGCCATTTCCAATTTCCGATGGTCCCCATACGCATCATCCTTTACCTATAGACCCCATTGTAAACAATTGTATCTTCACCGTCGTAATATTCACCCCCGAAAAGCAGGAGCTCCCCGGAAGGTAGAGTGGTCAGAGAGAAATTCGTGCGCGGGGAGGGTTGAGGTGCCTCCGAAATAGTCACAGCTGTCTTGGCCGCATCTTTGGCACGAATCTAAGGATATTTGTATGTACATGTTGCACATGATCAAGGTGAGGGATGATAAAGACTTCTCTAGCACGCCCGCTCTCCTACCTCAGCCAATATCGCCTCAATGTCCTCTTCTTGCAGCTCTTTGTCTTTTTCTCCGGCACCACCTCCTCCCTTGGTCGCTTTCTGTAATCAATTGATTGATACATGCTGCATATGAGCTAGTATTCAGATCGATTCTATCTCATTTCAATCTCAGCCCACCTCCAACAGCAGCTCATTGCACAACTTCACTTGCCTTTTTTGATTTCGCCTCTTGCTTCTTTCTTTTTTCCTCCTTCTTCCCCGCACCAGCTCCCCCGACTTTAGCTGCTGCCTTTTTCCTCTTATCCCTCTTGCCCATCCCTGTTTTCGGTAAAGCGGAAGTGACCGCGTAAATGACCAAAGTTGCTAGGTATCTTGAACGATCGTCCAGAGGGTGGGGAGGTTAAAGCGTAGTGCGGCCGTGCGATCAGATGAGCATTTTCGAGTCATTTCCTGAATTTATATTGTTGAAGAGTCGCATACGAATCAAACAAGACGAAATAAAGCACTATGACAAACGACTTTGCACTCAAATTTGACACAAAAACGATCAAAATATGGCGAAGTGCATGCATTCACTTATGGGCGGGTTCCGGGCTGCGTGTAACGAAAAAGGAAGCATAATTATGTGGAGTTGTTAATTGAAGATCAACGATCACTTTTCTGCGCTACGCTTATCATTTTTCAGTTTTTTTCTTAAGCTCCCTTCGCAAACCAAATGTTTCAGGAGGAAAAAAAGAGTCAAGGCATCTTGAGCAAAAAAAAGGTAAAAAGGGTGAAGCGAGACAACCGAAAATAAGGTACAGTCAACATGAACAATAAAAAAATGCTTTTTATTTTATTCTTACATTTGGCGACGAACCATCACCTTGATGCTGTCAACTTTTTGTCTTTCTCACCATCTCGGCTTATCTACAACAACCTTCACCATCAAGTCTACCACCACCATTCCGCCGTCCCTCCCCCCTTAGCGTCCCGCACTGACGCAGGATTCGTCAAATCTTTAGGGGGTGGCTCCAGTCGGTCCCTTGCCAATTCATTTTTGTAACTCCCGAAAGCCTCCCGTACCTCTTCTTCCCGCGTACTATTCAGCTGGTAGGCAGGGTCTGCAGCTGCCGCAGGAGAGAGCAGGGCGACAAGCAGGAGATCATCGAGTCCATCACTGTCATCCGACCCCGAATGGATGTAACGACGCGGCTGATAGTAGTCACTGCCTGCAATGAAGGCGTAATCGGTGGCGGCTACGCGTATCGACCAGGCTTGGAATGGTGAGAAAGGGGGGGGGCTCCGGATAGTTGTTGCCGTGGAGGAGTCGACGGAGACCAAGCCGGAGGACAACACGACGAAGAAGCCTAGAAGGCGCGAGGAACTACAGCGCGAGAGAAGGTAATCCATGTGCTGTGGCAGAGGAAACGAGAATGAGCACATGGATGGGAGAAAACGGTCGCATGCTAAGGTTTTGATGAGGAAAGGAGTTGACGGGGATGGAAACACTATGTCCTCTGAGTCCGAAAGGGATTGAAAGCATCCATGTACTGAAAGACTTTGTGCCTCATTGATGAAAAGGGGTCTTGAAACCGACAAAGACGACTTTAGCGGACACCCTTGCAGTGGAAAAATGCAACTCACGCCAAATGCAGGCGTGGCCACTTCGACGCAAGCTCCCGGGTGTTTCCCGTGGAGAACAACACCTCCTGCCAAGCATGTTTCCATGGACTTATCGTTTCTCAGACAATGCCCCTACTTATCCGGCGGCGATTTACCTTGATCATGGCTTGTACCACCTCGGTGGCGCGGGGCGGGTGTGCGAGAAACATCCCCGTCAACGGTTGGAATTCAAAAAAGGAACCAACCGATCCGAACCAGCAGTCCGTCTCCCTCTGACTGGAGCAATACGTGCGGTAGCGGCAATTGAAGGGGGATGCGAAGCATTCCATGCGCACTTGGAAGAGAGAAGCGAGCACATCGTAGACTCGGGGGGGCAACGCGCGTTCATCCGCGTCGTCGGCGACGGGGCAGGAAGGGAGAGAGGTAGGGAGGGAGGGAGGGAGGGAGGACGAGGCCAGGGAGTCTCGAGCGGTGGCCGCTAAGGCCTGGTACCTGAAAAGGAGGCAGCCGAGGCGTTCGTGGAACTCGTCTTCTTGGGCTGCGGAGAGGAAGGGGGGCGAGGAAGAAGAGGAGGACGGGGTGGAGGACAGGACGGGGGCGGGCGATGCCGAGGGCGGGGAGGACGCCGGGTGGAACGGTCGCTGAATGTACAGAGCCTTGGCATCGGAAGCGGAGGAGCAGGGAAAGGAAGAGCATCGTCAGGAGGATGAGCGTGAAGACACAGGGAGGGAAACGTTATCTAAGCCCCTCACCTCCCTTCGCCCCCGGTTTTTCCTGCTCTCCGTGACTGCTCACCTTGAGCTTTTGGTAATGTTTTGTATTGATCCGCAAGGCATGGCCTTTCAGCAAAGAGAGCTCGAGCGCTTCGTTCGCTTCCAAGAGGGCCAGACGGGCAGGCGACAGGGAGGAGAGAGGGAGGTACAGACAGGGGGCGTGACGGCGGCTCCTGAGGACCGGGGGGTGATCTAGCCGACTTGCACGGCGACGGGGAGGGGCGGAGGAAGGGAGGGAGGAGGAAGACGGGAGGGAGGAGAGGAGGGTCAGGGCCTTTCGACCGAGGGCTTCGCAGAGTTCGACGGCCGCCTCGGGGGGAAGTTGGATCTAGAGAGGAGGGGAAAGGAATGGGGGGGAGGAGGAATACTTTAAAAAGGATAGCGGCAGCTACACGTATGGAAAAGGTAGGCTTACCTACCTCGCGGCTCGTCAGGCACTTGGCCAGTCGAAAGTCCCGCTCGCAGGCGGAGGAGCCCGGCAAGACGGGGTCCCTAAGTCGGGGCCGCGGGCCCTTTCCATTCCAGCCTTTCACTCCCTTGCTGTCCACCCTTCCCCTCTCCTCCACCACCTTGTTGTTCCATCGCCACGCTTGCAATGCGCGATGGAGGATTGCTGCCTGTGGCGGCGACCCTCCTGCCTCCGTGCGGGGGTGCTCAGTGGCGTGTTTCAGAGCAGTACTCACGAACCAGCGGGCCAGCTCCACAAGCCCACGGGCTCGCGCCACTTCAACGTGCGGATCTGGGCCTTGCAGTAAAAATGCTGTCCCAGGACGCGGGAAAGTGTCCCTGTGCCCGGTACCGGTGGCATCGCGCCAGGGGAGGTTGAGAGTGGCTTGGTCAATCAAGAGGCTCGGGTTCCACAACTCTAGCGGAGACACGCGTGCGATGCTACTGAGGTGTACGCACGCATTTGACAGCACTTGTGGCGTCTGTTTATCCTGGTCCTGTTTTGAGACCTCTTGCGTCGCGAGGCCAGGTCCGCCCTTGGTCCCTCTTGCTTTCGCTTCTCCTTCCCCTCTCCGCCTTTTTGGGATGCCGTCTCCTTTTCCGCATCGATTCGCGCCTTCTGACCCCCTTGTCGCGTTGACTTCCTTTGTATCATGATGTTTCTTTGGTTTTTTAGCTTGCTTCTCCTCATTCTTTTCCACGTCTGCTTCTTGTTTTTCCTCCTCCTTGTCCTCCTCGTTTCCCCCTTGCTCCTTTTCCTTGCAAACGCTAGAAGGAGACAAGAGACCATTCGTCCTCCTCTCAGCATCAAAATGGTTGATGCTTTGTGTCATTCTTGCTCCCATTTCTTCCAGCAAGTCACGCATCAAGTCTTCTTCACCGTTATGCGTCCCAATCCCACGACTGCGTACAACGACCGGAGAGGCAACCGATATCTTTCTCTTTTTTTTAGTAAGCTTGCCGTCCACTGTGCCCGATCTTTTCACACATGTGGTCAACGTTCTATCTTTTCGGTGCCTTTCAACACCGGGAGCCTTTGTTTTGCTCGTTATTTGATCTGCAGGAGGACGGAGCATGCTACGGGGCGTAAAGCTGAGGGAAAGGTATCGCCTCTCCTCCGCGTTGTTGTCCCACCTGCCACCTATTGAAAAAGCAACCGACATAAAATGCTGTCAGCCAAGATGAAAATCCACTGGGTCTCTACAGAATAGTACAAGTCTGTGCGGAATAAAGTGCCAAAGAATAGCTTGCGGTACAGGGAGGCGGGAGGTTCTTGGACCGCAGCATGCGGGGGAGGTTCACCCCCAGTATAACCTAAAACCTTCCCAAAATAAAAACAGCATGATGCGCGTGCAAAATCTAGCTGTCAGCAATGGAATATTCTCATTTTCATTGCGGGAATGGGTGTCAATATAATCATTTCTCAAAATTCCTCGACATGTTTCTAATACTTTAGCCTCCCCTTTCAGTCGTTCTGGCCCATGCTACGAGCTACGAAATTATAGTGAACAACCTTACGTTTTATTGTTTCACGGACTAGCCTTTCGCTATATCAATTCTGCTGCTGATCAAAGATATTGTCAAGTAGGAAGTAGACAACTCGAGTTTCAGGGAAGGTTTTGTGAGATGAAAAAGACGACTCCGTCAAGAGGGCCTTTGCTTCAAATCAATTTTGGTCGATTGAATCGCTATTAGGTGGACAAGTGGCTTCTTACAACTGCGTTAATAGAACACTTGAGGAATCAAACGTTCCCTCCGAAAAATTACAAAACTTACTTTTGTGCTTCAAATATCAAAAGCGGTCATGACACTCTTCAAAATTGCCGCTCCGTCGCGTACTGTTGGACTTATGTAGGCTTACCGGGAATTAATTCCAATGTTAAATTATGCTCAACGATGTGAGTCACAGCTGTGTAGTATTTGACAGATCCTTACACGGATTTTACATAAAGTAATGGCGAAGCAGGACGTCGAACAACTCAACAACGCAGGGTGTCGTGCTCAATTTGTTTTCATTTATAGCTTACCATCTCCCATCCACGCTTCGTGTACACATTTTCGACCCGACCTATCAGATAAGCGCGGCGGCATCTTTGGCTTCTACACCCAAGTTTATGACCGCATGTGGGGCCTGTGCTTTTTCTTTTCTCTTCTTCAACTTGCATCTGTCCAAGACGTCGTCCCTGCCCTCCACCTGACTTCCGTCTCCCTCCTCCCCTTCAGTCATGGAACCTTTCGAACTCTTCGTCCAAGTCGCCATACTGCTTGTAGACGTAGTAGCTGAAGGCATGAAGGGGTAGGAAGATATAGAGCTTATCGACGTGTACGAGCGGTTGGAGGAGGACGGAGCACCTTGGGAAGACAGTCTATGGACGGTGGAAGAGGAGGACGAAAAGAGCGAAGGAGTGGGAGATGGCGGTAGGGAGGAACTGCGACGAATGCGAACTGTACCCAGACAAACGAGGATCCCGGTGAGCATTACGATGGCGAGTCCGACGACGACGATACGAGTGGGTATGGCCTGAGGGATAATTTTGAGAAAATGAGCGTCTGAAGAAGATGCTGACAGGCGAAGTATAGAGGGAAGTACAGCTAAAGGCATCCTTCTTCGACATTGTGGAGAACCGTGCAATGACGAGGGCAAGTTGTCCATGAAGCACAGCGTATAAACAGCACTTACACGCGCAGCACAACAAGTCGCAGTGAGTGGACAGACATTAAAGATAATCACCCAAATAAATAAATCACAAAGTACCATGAGGCAAGCATACCAGATAGTGGTGCGCTAAACCAAATTTGAAAATTATTGGGAAGAACCTCGTGCTGTACGTACATAACTGGAGTCCTCATTCGTCGGAGGCGAGCTGCTTTGCGCGTGGACAGATGGAGGAGATAGAAGCAGAGCCCGCACCATAAGCAATAGAGGAAGCAAAGTGGCTGCTGTACACCTTGAAGGTATCATTTTCTGTGCAACCTTTGAGCAGAGCCGTGCGAAAAGTAAGTGTTAAAAATGGGTGCTTACATGATGAAAATCAACGTGCTGCATGATCATGCCTCAAAACATGCCCAAGAAATAATGCCCATTCCTCTTCGATGCGAAACATAACACAGTCTAGAATATTTCAGACATTTTTCTCCATTTCAAGCCCTCTTCAAGCTTGTGTGGTGCTTTCGCGACCCCAAGAATCTTGCCGCATGAACATTTCAAGGGAAAGGGGGGTAGGCGGTGGTTTCTCGCTCGGCTACAGCTGTCACGTGGCGTCACGCTTTGGTCGATCCATCCGTTGAGGAGAAAAGAAAGGCAGCACCACGTTTGAAGGCTGTGGGGTCGACATGGCACATAATTGCGAATAGCCCTCGGATATGTGCCATATCAATGCGGAAGAATAAGATGCTGTAGAACGGCTGTATCCGTACGTTGTTTAAATGCGGGCTTCGTCGACCTCTCCCCCACGTTCCTCCACCCTCTTTTTCAAAGGCCCTATTTACCAGAACACGCCAATAGTATTTCCATCATGTAACTCTGCCACGAGGCACACAGAAAATACGTCAATCTAATTTTGCTTTTTGAGTGCATGGAGAAAATGATATCTTGATATTTCAATGAGAGGATAACCTCCTGATCCCTCCCTCCACATCACTCACTTCCGGTCTCAACTCAGACAATGCTAGTTTTGGAGAAATACGCTCAAATAATAGGATGGATGCAAACCAAGTTCTGAATGACAAAGTTTTAGTGGACCTTCCTACTTCTCTGGAGGACGCATCCCGACTTCCTCCCGATTGGGAGGCACGTATGAAAATGGAGCAGGCAGCTCGAGAGCAAGAGGAGGAAATGAGAAAGGCGCTTGAAAGTGATCGAGATCTCTTCGGCAAATATATCACAGATGCTGCGCTTGAGGGTGCTGGGCTCGCTGTATCGCCGGGTATTTCGACTGAGTGTACGCAATCATGTGTTCAGTCTCCTCTCTCCTTTCCTCCTTTTGTGCGGTCTCGCTTAGGGAGAGGTGCATTGCACGTGACACGTTTCATCAGCAAAATGGAAGATAGGTTCCGTGTTCATTTTGCCTTTTCTCCCACATGTCGTCTTTTATCGTCGTCTGCTCAATGTCCTGCGCAGAACCTCGCTGATTCATTCGACGCTGGAGGAGCACTGACTCCAACAGCGCTTGAGCTCTCGAAGGAAAATGGGAAACTGAGAGAGACGAAAATTGGAAGTGAGCCACGAGATAAAAGACCAAGGACAACAAGAGAGGCAGTCAAGAAAGTGGATAAGACCATGCTGAACACGTCATTGGTCACATCGCCGGCGTCAATGGTGGAGCTTGAAGACGAAGTGCGGGCTGAGGTCAAGGGTGATGTTGAGAAGGTTACATTGCAGAAAATGAGCATGAAGCAGACCTACGAAGCAACGACGATGAGTGAGCAGGAAGAAAGGAGGTTAAAAGGAGAAAAACAGGCCACGTGTAGCTTTCACGTACCTGAGAGAGGGAAAGGGGAGGATGCTACGGAATGGAAAGATCGAGGAGCGGAGGGGCAGGTGAGAAAGCCTATGGGGAAGGGTCCCTATGAGAACACACAGACCGTCACACAGGAAGACCAAGAAAATACGTCTCTCACTAATAAGCCCCCTCTGAGCACCCCACTCCACAACCATGGCCCATCCATCTTCCCTGTCACTCCTTTGCATGCTCCCCGTCCATCACAACCGCCATTTTCTTCTATTTCGCTACTTTGTAACGTCGTGGCGTGCGCCTACGCCCAGAATGAGATAACCAGCATAGGCATTCCTCCTCCCCTTGCCCGTTTGCTCCAAAAAGCCGTATCTCTCCGTCGCCGGCAATTCTTGCCGCTGCGAAAACAATTGTTTCGACCCGGCAGTAAAGAAGAAAAAGCGGAGGATGTGACCGCCAGGAAGGGTGTGGATCCGATTAGCAGCTGCGACAGTAACCTTAAGCTTCGTTGCGCTGATGTAAGCAGTCACAATGTCAGCAATTGTAGCAAAGCTCAAAATCCTGACAGCCGCAGTGGCTCAAACAACGGCGACACCAGCATAGCAGCACATCCAAAGACGGATTGGACTCAGGACACGAAGCAAATACACCAGCAGCAAAATGAAGAACCAAAAAAAAAGGAGCAAGAGAAAGTCCCTCAAGGAGAAACCCAAAATGCAAGAATAGAAAACAACGTTCATGGCAAGCCAACACAGACTGACTTCGAGCCAGAAGAACAAAAAGAAAAGCTTTCGCACTATCAGCTCATGTCTCGGGAGGCGGAGGGGCAGGTTCCAGCGGAAACTAATAATATAAAGCAGACCTACAAAAGTGAAGACTCACGTCCACCGTGCCTTGAGCAGCTTAGTACGCCACGTCAACGAGAGCAGAGCCGCTGTCATTGCAGACCAGCGCCCATCCAAAAAGCCCTCCGTCGCCCCCCCATTATCCCAGGTCTCTCATTAAAGCAACTGATGCTGCGCTATCCGCCACCAGTAAGTATAAAACAATTGCGAATAAAGGGAGGAAGACTTTGAGGAAAGGGATTTGCTTTCCGACACCTGTCAGAGATTGAATCGTATTTATCCCATTTCAATACTAGGAGAGTAGGAAGGAAGAAGAGGAGGCAGAGCGTGCGGCAGCTTTCCGGCGTGCGAAAGAGGAAGAACGAAAAAGCGCTGGAGGCTGGAGCGGCGGTCGTCGACGACTCCCCACCCGTGCTTCTCGCCCCCCACCAGGTATCCCTTTCCCTGAGAAGGCTATATGAAAAGTTATTCTGTTACTACCCATTTTGAGGACATATGCCTTCGTGGTACCTTTTCGTTCTGAGTCTGTGTCTGTTCCTCCCGCCCAGGCTCTCTCTGCAATGACAGTCAACTTGTTCCTGGCCTGGGGCTAGATGAAGAGGAAAGTTCCTCAAGCCCCGGCAGCCAAGATGAAGAGCAAGGACAGGAGGGAAAGTGGACCGGAGGCACTATGTCAAAGAGTGGAACGAGCGAGATACTCATCCCGTCGGCATCCACTACCGCGAAGAAAGTGACGAAGAGGGGGAGGAGGACAAAGGACGAGGAAGACGAGGACTTTGTGATGGAGGAAAACGGGGAGGATGACTCTGACGACGATGCTACGGGGGACGAGGATGAGAAAGAGGGAGGGCGGAAGAGAAGAGCTAAACACGAGGGATCGAAGCGGGGTAGGAAAAGAGAGCTGGTCGGCCGCTCATTCTCGTGCACACAGAACGCCGAAGCCCGTCGTGCCAGCCGTGCACCCTCTTTGAGTAGAACGACTCCGATCATGGGCAGCCCTTCTTCCTCTTCTTCCTATCTATTCAACACCCCCATGATTCCTCGTCACCTGAAAGTTGGGCATGGAGGTATAGTCAAGAGCAGTAAAACCCTCTCTGCTTCATCCTCGCACGCTACAGAGAGGAAAAAGAAGAGGAAGAGGATGAAAGAAATGTCAATCAGCTCCTCTTCGGCTACCAAAACGCAATTCCCTGCTGTGGAAACGAAATCCTCCTCTTCTATCACCGCTCCGACTTCGTCGTCCTCCGGGGTATTGGAGAAGAACAAAGCTCGAACTCCTGCAATGGATCTGGGAGGGGCGAAAAACAATGAAAAATAATTGATGCCGCGAGAAGGGAATGAATCAAAACAGAGAAAAAAATAGAAGTAATTGATAATGTTTTGACGACCACCGAGACAAATGGTGGAGGGGTCGACGCGACATTGCTCAAAATGCTCTGGACGAAACATAAGAGAAGACGCCCAAAGCAGTCGATGGAAAAAGGGACATGAGAGACACAAAAGCTGGGCTGATCGACGCAATTTGGAGCCGCACCGATGAGGGTTTTGATATCATGAGTCGAGGTTTTCTGGGTTGCGGCAACGCTTTAAAGGAAAAATGGGGGTTTAGGTAGCAAGGAACGAAGATGGGTTACAGAGCAAGATCCCTACACCTGAAAGGCACTGAGGCTCGATTTGTTGGAAGGGACAGAGGGTCGAATCCGAGCTCCAGTGTGAAAAGGGAAAATGATCGACATTACTTGAGGCCTCCCTTGTCGGATGCCTGGCGCTACCTTCCTTTTGTTGCTTCTCGCATTTTTAACACGACTTCAGGACAGCCTTGGCTCCGATTAACTTCCGCCTCGATTCACACATCCTGAATCAAACTCCCTCGTCTCAGTCTAGAACTCGATCCTCTCGGCAGCAAGCTCTTTCCTCGCACCGCCCCTTGACCCTTTCCCCTTTCCCTTCCTTTTTCCAGAAGTAGCTGCATATTTCCTTCTTTTCCCTCCGTCCTTGTTCACTGCCCTCCGCTTCTCTCTCTCCCACGCCTCCACCAGATAGTCTTTGCCACCTTCTCCCTCCTCCGTCCTCTCCATCCCTCCTCACCCCTACACGCCTTTCACGTTTCATTCCTCTCTTGTCTCACTCCTCGCCCTCCTCACCTTCGTGCTCCCTGCCTCGTCGATCTCCCCCCCAGACTCTACCTGTCGTTCATCTTTTCCAACGTGCGCCACTCCCTGTACATTTCCTCATCCGGTGTCTTCCTTCGACCACCCTCGATCTTCCTTCTGCTTCTTCTCGCTCAACTCCGCTCATGTTTACAATCCAGTCCGTCGCGATTATCCTCCCTTTCCCCCCCTCCCTTTCCCCCTTCCTCTCTCTCTGCTTCATTTTCTCAACCTCTTCTTATCGGTCTTTCCACCACTCCCTTCCCCTCCTCCCTCATCCTCCCCTCCTTCCTCCTCCTTGTCTTTCCCGCCTGCCCACGCTCCTCTCCTTAACACCGTGTTAACTGCCAGTCCCTCCGCTTCCCCTCGCCTTTGCCCGTCTCCATCTTTCTCCTCCCCCCGCCCTCTCCCCCCCCCTCCCTGCCCTCCCGCATGCCTTCCATTTTCATGTTCTTCCAGGAGCGAAGAGGGAGGGACCGAGGGCGGGGGCGATGATGAGGCGGATCCCGACGAGAGTATCTCCACCTCGCCTCGGAGCTGACGGATTTTCTCGTTCAGCTTCTTGTCGTACTGCCGGCAGAGAAAAGGGTGGAGGTGGAAGAGACAAGAGGGGAAAATGAGGGATCGAGAAGGCGCTTATTTGACATGACACGGTTCTCATAGTTTTCCAAAGAGACAAAGAGCCATACTCTCTTTCTCACTTCTAGCCAATTACCACCTCAACTTTCCCCGCCCCCCCCTCGCACCCCTCCCCCCTTCCCTTCCTCCCTCCCTTCCTCCCTCCCACTCCTCGGTCCTCCCTCCCTCTCAACCTGCAAGGACGTTTTCAAATAGTCAAGACGGGAGGGGGCGCCTTGGTGCAAGAAATCTTCTTCCATGGCCGAGACCAGCTGTTGAGCAAGATTATGGAAGCTTACCGATGAGCAGGCAACAGAAAGGGAAAAGATTCACAGGGAGGGAGACACTGAGGGAGCCAGACCACGCATGACATGGTCCGCATTCCCCTCCATTCCTTCCCTTCCTCCCCCCCTCTCCCTGCTTCCCGCCCTCCCCCTACTAACCCTCCTCCCCCCTCCGCCTTCTCTTCTTCCTACCTCGAGCAGGCCCTCTACATCTCCTTCTTGAACGTGATGCAAGTACGCCGTCTTCAAACGCCCCCTGACCTCCATCCGCTCCTCAATCGTCAGGCGCCGGCGCCATTCGTCCGCCGCCCCTGACGCCTTGGAAGGGAGGGAGGAAGGAGGGAGGGAGGAAAGGGGTAGGCGCTACTGCTGTTTTGCAGGGCGAGAGTTGGGGGCAAGCTGCAGGATGGGAAGGGGAAAAAGCCGCAAACGAGGATCAGGGATTGACATGAGTATTGGAGTCAGGGTGAGGCGCCCGTTTATATATGGCATAAACTAGTTCCTCCCACACAATTGCCTCACCGAGGTCCACTGTCGCTCCTAACGCTGTCGGACGACCCCTCCCGCGTCAACGCCGGGAGGAGGGGCAGCCGGGTGGGGAGAGAGGAGGCTGGAGAGAGAAGGGAAGAGGGAAGTGAAAGCGGTCAACGCATGCGAAAGGCGGTGGATAATGAGCCGACAGGACTCGGGCGGTAAGGGAGTCTCCGGAGGAGAAGGGGAGGGTCAGCAAGGGGAGGAGGATAGCGGCCGCGCATGACGTGGGCCGAAAAGCTCGGAACCACAGGGAGGGAAATGAAAGAAACGAAAGAAAAGGAGGAAAGAACGACGACAGGGGCAGAGGAGAGTTTAGGACCTTGGTTGTCGCTAGGGTGTGTCGGGGACGGAGGAGGCGGCTGAGAGGTGGGAAGAATCGTCCTGGAGGGAATGAAGGGCATGTGTGAGGGAACGTCAAGGAGGGGATCTGGAAATCCCCTTCCCTCCCTCTTCGGACCCCAAAAAAAACATGCGTCTCCAAGGGAACTGGAAGGGTATTAAAAAAAAATAGAACCGTGGAAGTCCACTCCGGCGGCCCAGCCTCACCCAGGCGTGCTCCCGCTCGTAAACCTCCCTTCCTTCTTCGCATGCCCTCCTTCTTGCTGTCGAGGCGAGGGCCTCGCGGGCTGGGAAGAGGGAGCAAATCCTTTCCCTTCCCCGGATGCCGAAGAGGAGGAGGAAGGGGTCAAGGCCCGGGGCGTGTGGACCGGCGACCGCTGGGGTTGAGGGGAGTGAACAGGATTCTGTGAGACGTCACGGTGGTGCTCCAGCCAACGCAAGCATGGATGGATTCGACGCCTTGTGCGGACAGTGGGGGCCGTGCCTCACGTTTTCACTCGCACAAAGTCACGCGTCCAAGCTGTCGTATCAACCACGCGTTGGACGCTTTTTCTGCCCTTTACCCGTCCCTCCACGCGTACCTTGCTGTGATGATGCTTGTGGATCGCGGCGGCGCTGGAGAGGGCTGCCAGGGCACAGGAAGCATCCTGTGTCTGCAGCGCAAGCTATGTGAGAAGACACACTTTAATACTGTGGCACAACATTCCTCCCAACGACAACAACCCTTCCATTCCATCCTGCCCCCTCTCGGCACCCTTCCCCCTCTTTTTGACCCCTTTTTCCTTCTTGCCTTGTCCTCACGCACCCGCACGCCCCGTTTCAAAGGTCGATTCACCATGGCTCTATCCCTTATTGTGCCCCCTTGAAGCTTGAAAAACCGGCCTTCCGACAACAAAGGGGTCCGCAATGATTTTGTGTGAGACAGCTTTCTACAATGAATTCGATCTCTCCGGTACCTGTGCCATGGTGGGAATAAACTGTATGATACCGAGAAATAAAAGTCTTCAGGACAGAGAGGAAAATGGCCGCTACTGGCCATGCCAAGACTGCGACATTTCTAGGTCTGAGAACGCCAGAGCCAGAGCATCAAGACTGCTGCATTTTCTTTCGCCCTGCGCCCTGCGACGTCCAAATCGGCGCACTCTCATACCTGAATGGGCATCAGACCGGCATCGTGTGCCCTCCTGTCTCTGAGGACATATCAGCTCGATGTAAGCAAAAGGAGGGGAGGTACAAGGTGAAGTATACACGCAGCCGGCAGCCGAATGAGAACACAATTGTGCTGGCTATTCACCACGAAAAGCCAATTGGACCACACTCTGTGCGATAGTCACCTTCCAACTTGCATGGATGGGTGAAAGACGGACAAGCAACCCAACCTCTTCACGAGTCTTGAGAACTTTCCTGAGCTTGCATGCCTTTCCAGCCATCCGTGTGAAATAATTCGCGGTGCTTAGACAAAGTGGCACCGATGAACTCATGCACCATACATGATGTTCGCCACGTTCAACCGCCTGACATGTTTTTACCGGTGGGATTCCTCGTCGTCCTGAAAATGGTGCGCCAGGTCTGTTTAGGGCGGCCTCACTTGGCTTTTGCCGCCAACCCGCACACGATCCTGTCGGCGACGCCCCTCAGACTTCATTTCAATCCAATAAATGGCCTTGTGACCACACTCAAGACATTGTCGCGTGGGCCACCCTGCAATTTTGTCCGGTGGGCGTATGGCTTGTCGCCTTCTCATCTCTCATTCCGCTTTTTCTCAGGTTCTTACCAGACTGACCGTCAGCCCCGCAAGAGTCTCGTTGGCTTCGAATTTGTACCATGCCGCCTACAAACCCTGATTCGCTGGTCATCACGTCCGTTGGAGATGCAACCCCGCCTTTGCCTTTGGCGTACGGGAAATTGACTCTAGAGTGCACGTGAGTGAAAAAATAGCCGGGCGGAAGGGGAGGGAGGACAAACCATTTTTGTCCACTTCGTTGCGGAAGCTTTTCTGGTGTGGTGTTCCGCAGCATCGGTAGGACAAGACAGTTAAGACAAGTTAATCCGGACCTGTGCACAAAATTGACTAATTCATCCATTTTGTCTGGTGCCAAACAGCAACGAAGCGTTTCCTGCGGAACTGCAGGGCGTGCCAAAGGAAATCTTGCTGGCTTTAAGCAAGCATACAGTCGGTCGAGTACCGATCTCAGGAGGAGAGGGGGTAGAGGGGCTCTGGAAAGGTTCCGCGCCAATCAAGGTGCGTAGGAGAACGATGGAGGCTCTTTACAATGTGCCACGAAGGGAATTGGGACGGTGACGCACGGGTATTCGCCCGCAGGGGCCAGGAGGAGGTGATCCGAGCGGGAGGAGAGAGGGAAGGTCCGCTCCATGCCGTGAATCGGACGCCCGGCTGCCCCACTCTCCCCTCCTCGGGAGCCGCGTCTGTGCGGTAGAAGCGATCAATATCGCGTGGCGCCCAGCCTAAGTGTCGGCGGAGCACGGGCGGGCACAACCCTTGCGGCCCCCCGACCTGACTGACCCTTTTTTGTCCAGATTCCCAGGCACTACGTCCTGAACAAGGCCTACATCTCCTCCATGCACTGCCGCTTCGAGGTGCTGGAAGACGCGGAGGGAGCGGAGGAGAAGGAGAATTCGCGGGCCTCCGGGCGGTGGGAACCAGGTGAGTGGCACGCGTTCTCATCTTCTACCGAGCCTTGTTGCAGATGCGCTCGCCCTCCCCGGTGTTTTTAATCTCCATGCCTCTCACGTATCCGTTTCCTCAAACGGTGGCTTTGACCCCCCCCCTTTCCCTCGTTTCCCTCCTTGTCCTCAGGGGAGCATGCGCGCAGCCTCTCCCTTCGCCTGACCGACACCTCCACCAACGGCACGTACGTGAACGGGACCCCGGTGGGGAAGGGAAGAGTGTTCTTCTCATGGTAGGTCGAAGGAGGGGCGGGGGG